GCTCGGGGTTCCCAGGCGCGGTGCGTTTTAAGAAGCTGGGCAAGCTCCCGGGAACGTTGTGAGCTAGGGGCGGTGCCCCCCTGCAGTAGCTCTTCCCTTCCTTCCCCTTCAGCCGTGTTGCGGTGCTCAGCATTGGCTTTCCCTGCACCGGGCTGCGCTTTTCCTTAGCTCTTTGCGTTACGAGGGGCGCTGGTATTTTCTTTATTCTGAAGCTGACGGTACAAGGTGAGGGGCATTTATAGCTCCATCTCCTCACTTTACTGGGGGAAACGCCTGGTTTGCATGGCTGTGCTGAACTGGTGAGCGCTGAGATGCAACGAAGAAACTAAACCTGATGTTTGATCAAATAAACCATGCCTTTCAGCTTATTACCAAGGAAAAAGAAGTTGAAGGAACTGAGCTCACCTTGCGCCACCCTCATTACACACGGGAGCGGGGGACCTTACAGCATGGCTCTGCAGAGTGCAAGCAGGACACTCTGCACAAAGAGGTCTGCTCGCAGCCCTTTTTCTGTCAGTATGGAGCAGGATCAAGCCTAGAGATCCCCTCCAGCTCATAGCCACAGCTTGGGGGCACCCATTCTGTAACATTTGCTACCAGGGGAATCACAGAATGGCAGGGGTTGGAAGGGACGTCCAGAGATCATCTAGTCCAACCCCCCTGCTAAAGCAGGGTCACCTAGAGCAGGTTGCACAGGACATCAGAACTTTGTCCTTCTGAAGGATGAAATTTAGTTTAGGAGCATTAAATGCTGAGTTCCTATCTGCGGTGGTGGAAAGTAAGATCCTAGATCAATAGTTTTTATTTTCTTTGTTTGAGCAATGGAAAATATTCTTCCCCGGTCTTTAAGTACAAACTCCCTCTACAAATTCCTTCACCCCAATCCCTCTCAACTATTATGTATGCTGTGTTAGGTACTAGGTATTATAAACTAGCTATGTGATCCCCATGCTCGTGTGCAGTATTTTTAGGGTCTTGCAGAATGAGAGCAACTATCAAACCATATTTAGTTGCTTTCTCCATTCCTTATTTTTTTATCTGCAGTGATATCTCTACATATTTTATGACAGCTCTGCCTTTCAGTGTCTTTTGCTCATGGGAGAATCCATCCCCCCCGCTTAGCTCTGCCTGTGGCTCATAAAGCCATTGATAAAATCTCTGTCACTGAAATCCTGTGGTTCAAGCTGAATCAGGGTTACTGCTCAAGTCTGAGAGTCCTCACAGACAAGGCTCCGCTTGGTCTCCTTTTCATTCTGATTTCCCCGTCATATCTGTGTGGCGTCTGTTCTTTCTTTTATCGTCTGTGCCGGGGCAGAAGAGTTCAGTTGCGCGGCTGCATGCTACGCTAGTTATTCAGAGCACTGATGCTTTATGAAAGCGGCCTGCGGCCATCAGGCAAGAAATTAGATAGGTTTCTAACAGAGGAGAGACAGATGTCAGTGTGCATTCTCCTGGGGGAAGAATAACTAGTTTTATAAAAAGAGCGCTGGCCCAGTTTTTGAAAGGTAGAATGAATGGCAAGGTTTGGTGCCCAAGTATTTCTGAGGAGCTGCACACAAGGGCCGGTTTCATTGCTAATCACTTTCTCTTTTTTTGTAAAGCCTGTAGACCTTGGATTGTATCCCGACCATCACAGAAAGATCGATTTAAGATGAAAAATTATCTAAAGGTGATAATGGAAACACTGTATGAGATTGGTAAATGCACTCAGTACGTGTAAATATTTCTTCTTTCTAAGTTTCCCCTGTGCTAAGGACTCCCTGACAATGAGAACATCCTTTGCTGACAAAACATAACCAGCCCTTGTGCCCTCTGGCAGGTTCTCCGGGATCAAAACAGGCAAAAATCAATGGAAAATGAAAAATAATTTCTTTGGAGCAATTGTTGGAAAGGGGAAGAAACAAATTAGCAAAAAGAATTCCAGTACTTGAGTTAATCTCAGCCCAAACTTCTGGACCTTTACTCATATGAAAAGAAAAGGAAAGGAGAGAATACCCATGAGAGAGACACTAACACACCAAAATCCCACTTCTCAAATGTTCGTATAGCCAAGTTTCCCATTCGTTGATAGAAAAGACACATGAAATCATGCAGCATGAGTATAACAAAGCAGAATAAATCCTGAAGGTACCGGGCACCATCCTACCTTTCCTGGAGCCCCACAGGTTTCATTCTGAAAGGAGATGGACTGGCACACAGGGGAGGTTTGAGCTCAGGAACACATTGGCCTTGAGGGTCCACTACAACATTGACAATCTTTGGAGCCTGTTCAGGCTGGACCATGCTGTTGGTGGTCCTGTACTCGGACTGAGATTTCTGCAGGGGAAGGGGTGAGAGGTGGATCTCCTGCTTCTTTTCCTTCTCTTGTCTCAGTGACAACTGGATCTTCTCCTTTAATCTGTACAGAACCTACAGCAATAAGAAGGAAAGCCCAATCTCAATTCTCTGGTAAAGAAGGCAAGGAAAGTAACGCAAATGCTTGGATAAGATTGTTATATGTGGCTTTCACTCCTAAAAGGTAAGCCACAAGTTGTGTTACACGGTGTTTCCCACAACAGGATAAATACTTTCATTACATAAACCACAGTATGTACACATGGGCAGTAGGGATTTTAACAATTCCCATCGTGAGCCAGTAATTATTTGTAATACCAGCAGTTGTATTATTAAAGAGGCAAATAGCATAGAATGGAAAATAGTTACAAAAGACACTGAAGAAGGAAATACAGATAAATAGAGTATTTGTAGAAAAATTTGTAAGAATTTTAACTCAAGATAGACAATGTCACAAAATAAAATAGATGTTCATGATATACCCAGATGCCTGTCTCTAATTATAGCAGCCTCAATTTGTTTCAGAGCAGATGTTCTTAAAAGCTCTTACTCGTTTTGCATGGAGCTGATGGTTGAACAGAGTAACTTTACTAGGCCACTTTTGTAATGGTAGGCTGCTACTATGCTGAAATGCTCCTCAGGACAAGGATATCCCTGAATATCCTCAGAGAAACAACCTGTTCTGGAATAAAGCTGAAGCGATGCGTGGCCTATGAAGATATTTAAGCATCTGTTCAGAAAAGTGTGTTTTACAATTACCAAGACATTGATGTCTGAACATACTGTAATACCAGGATTCTCGGTCCACCTGTTGCTTATGAACTTGGATGTCAGATACCTGCAGCAAAAGCTTTTCAGAAGTTGTATTGATCCTCTTCCACCGAACTCCACACTGATGTTGCTGCACACTGGCTCGGTGAGGGCCAGCAGGTAGCGTGTGTTCCCTAACGTCACTCCAGAGGAAGCTGTGTTATGGCTATTTAACACATCTTATCTCTTTTGAGGGGAATGCAAAAAATGATCTCTGAGCCATAGCTGTGCCATTTTCAAAATGTGCCTCACAACCTAGGAAACTTATGAGAATTACTATTGCAAGTACTGTGTGTGGAGGTAGATGAAAGGCACTTACACAGCTTTTTGAAGGTGTCTGCAGATACCCTTACAGCTTCTACCCTGCTTTATCTGTTGCTGTAAAGCATTTGAATTGAGTTCTGGTTTGCAAAGCCATAAAAACAAAGCCTAGACCAAAGCATTGTTCCGCTGCAAGTCAGAAGCTCTTTGACAGCTGCTGCCCTGCTAGCACCGCGTAAAGGTCTTTCACTCCATAGCCTTCCAGTGAAGACTGGATATATCTGATGGGTTTGTTTTTTCAAGGATTAGCATTAGAGGTTTAGCTGGGAACTGACCTAATGTCATTAGCAATACACCCATTAAACAAGACTTAGCTACGTAAACCATCTGTTCATTCAGAAGAGTTTAGAATTAAATTGCATGGATAAGATAAGCTGCTCTTTGCCGTTAGTTTGCAGAAAAAAACAGCCCTACTGTGAAGCAAGGACACAGGTATCAGTAAAGATAAAACAGAGGCTTGAAATATTCTAACCCTCTTTTCCTCCAGTGATTGCTTTGGTCTCATTTGTTTCTACTAACCCACAGGTATATAGAATCATAGAATCATAGAATGTTTTGGGTTGGAAGGGACCCCTAGAGGTCATCTAGCCCAACCCCCCCGCAGGAGCAGGGACACCGCTAACTAGATCAGGTTGCTCAGAGCTCCCTTCAACCTGGCCTTGAATGTTTCCAGGGATGGGGCCTCCACCACCTCTCTGGGCAACCTGTTCCAGTGTTTTATCACCCTCATTGTAAAGAATTTCTTCCTTATATCCAGTCTAAACCTACCCTGTTTTAGTTTAAAGCCATTACCCCTTGTCTTGTCACAGCTGGCCCTACTGAAAAGATTTTTCCCATCTTTCCTATAGGCCCCCTTTAGGTACTGAAAGGCCGCAATCAGGTCTCCCTGGCTCAGACATTCACAGTCATGACAATGTTAACCATACCTTCTTGTCACTGATACATTTTGGCACAGTTTCATCCCTTGGAGACCCAGGAAATTATGTTTTTGACTTGCAAAAACCTGAACAAGTATTATTTCATATACTTTTTAATACTCTGTTATTAGGTCCTAGGACAAAAGAGAGCCTGCCACCAGTGGAAGTTGAAGAAAAGCTGAAGAGCCACATTTGATCTAAGAGCTAACACAATTTCTTCAGAAAGTGTGGTCAGGGCCATCATATTTTTAATGAATTCCAGGCAAAAGTCAAACAAACAGAAATGGTCAAAAAGACAGTGATCAACCCTATCACCAAGATCTGCGTTAGTTGTACTCCTATTTCAAATCAGTTTAAACGCATCTGTCAGTATGTGTGGAAACTGATATGAAGCCCCGGAATTAGGAAAACTGAAGTTTTACTGATACTCCAGAAGATTCATTGTGAGGATAATCAAGAGGCATGGAGCAACTGAACAACAAGAAGTGCTATTTTTCAGGACACACGAGGTGTAATCTTTTCATATATTAAGCCTAGGGTTCAAAGCCACAGTACAAAAGGAAAAGAACTATTCTTTCTGTCTCCTCTTTGACTCTGCTTATCTAGAAGAATGACAAGGTGCTGACAGCATGACGTTCACTCTTTATAACCCTGCTCAGACTTCTGCAAAGGGAAGCTGGCATGTTACGTCCTGGCTTGGCCAGTACCTCCTACCTACCCATTCAAAATACTGGTGGAAACTGCTTTTATTCATCTTCAGAGATTGACAGGAAATCCCAATGAGATAACTCTCTCTCCAGAATGTGAAGTTATGTGGAGTAGTGATACAAAACCTCATCTGCCTAGAGATATTTAGGGCACCCAGGACTGTATCGTAAAATTTCCCAGAAACCATGGAAATTAAGACAGTTCACTCTAATTAAAAGCATTCTCTCTAACGAGTACTTACCAACATGTGTGTGAGGCTGTGTGTGTATCTCTGCATGAGCAGAGCATGTGCATACCTGAGAAGAAAATCGGCTAACAAAATTTCCCTCATACCCTGGGGAAGGCATGAAAGAACAAAAATGTGACAGATGTTAATTTTGTTGTTTGATGCATTACTGGGAGGCATTTGGATACCGTGATTTGAACGCAGTATAAAAAGTTCTACAGAAGCAGAATAAAAGAATTCAGACAATCTAGGACTGGTTTATAGACAACCCCCTTAATTTCAAGTTTGCTTAAACTTGAAAAAACTGTGTGATAGAAATACATACTGCTAATTTTGATTTAAAACTTTAAACTGGCAAAAGCTAAAGTTGATAAGTTGATATTAGTTAATTGTATATATTCTATAATCAAAGTGCTTTCTGAAGTCCTGCACCACTTTATGAATCCTGAAACTTGTAGGTTTAAGCACAAGAGATAGGTCATGTGAAAATTTGATGCTGGAATGCATTTTTTTGTTATTCAATATTCTTCTTGGTAAAGAAATTCCAAAATACAATCATGAAGCTGAAAAACTACTTATCGTTTTAACTAATTATCTCCCCAAAGCATCAAATAACTGTTCATAACTCATGAAACACTGGGAAGAGTAGTAAAAATTTAGATCCTCACAATTTGGTGACAAGGCAAAGTTCATGGAATCATAGATTCATAGAATAGTGTGGGTCAGAAGGGACCTTTAGTGATCACCAAATCCACCCCCCCAACATAAGCAGAAACATCTTTCACAGGTCAGGTTGCTCAAAGTTCATGTCTTTCATTATTTGAAATGAAAAAAAAATCTGACTTTTTTTTTTTTTTAATGAGAAAAAGAAAAACATTTAGAAAACCCTCTTATCACAACTAGCTATAAATATTTCGTAATCTGAAGGTGATACTTCCAGGCTACTCAATAGATACTTATACATACATATTTTTTTCAAAAAAAGGATATGTAAACATACTGGTTTATTAAAATGGGCAAAATTAATAAGAAATACGGTAGGAAATAATTTAACCCACTGACAAATATTATGCTATTTAGTAAATTTGGCAATGACTCAGTTATTTCTCTATCTTTGTAAAATAAAAAATACAGAGATCTGTTTTACACATAGGAGTGCTAAAAATATTTATTCTTGCTTAGCACTTTGCTTGGCAAACCGTATAAATGATGTACAATGTTCCCAGTGGAAGTGAGCCCATGGTCAGCCCATGGTGAGGACAGCAATGAGCTGTGTGTGGGCTTCCACACATGATGAATCACTCCTGGGATGCAAGAGGTTCCCATACCGCGACAACGAGGACTAGCTGAGTAAATACATAAAACGACCTCGGAGGTACAATTTATGAGTCTGAATTTAGCTCATGTGCTGGTGCATTACACTGTTTAGCAATGCTCTGCGCTGTAGATTTTTATGCATAGAGGCCAGATATTTGTTAAATTCCAGGCAAGCACTGAGAAGCGTAGAAGATGTTAACATACAGTGCGCTCTCAGCACAGGGAAGCATCATGATTTTAAAACCCAGTTAAGAGACAAAGCTGCACGTTTTACAATTTCTGAAGAAATTACACAGAACTGACAATTCAGCTGCCTTGTACTGAGCACTGTTGATCACCATAATCATCACTTAAAGTACTTCCTACTCCATTCCACAAGGACACTTCCAAGTTGTCTACAGATGCAGGCTAAGCTCTCTGCTTTTGGACCCTCTAAACTACAAATAACGACCTATGGACAAACAGGTGTCTACCCGGTAACTTTAAAAAAGAGGATGCATTTTGGTGGTCTTATATGGTCGCTAGAGCCGAAGCTACTTAGGATGAGCCCTAATGCTTTATGCTAAAGCTGAACGGTCTGATAAACTGCAATGGCTGCATTAGAAATACTCAATTCCTACTTTTTGTAAATCTGCCACTCTGACACACGTGAAGTGGGATGAAAAACAATGATGTGAGCTGTTTGTTAGCCTTATAGGTTGCACATACTCCATGTATCAGCAGGTCCTGGCAAATTCTGAGACAGTGTCCATTTACAGAGTCTAGACAGCAGCACACGTAAAGATCTGGACCTGGGAGGGGAAAGAAAAGGGAATGCCTGCAGAAAAGACCACAGCATCATAGTAAATCCACCTGGAAGGGAGTTCAAGGAGTCTAACTAGTATTCACCTATTCCCTAACTCCAGATCAGCTACACCCAAACTATTCCTGACAGATGCTGCCAAGTAGCATTCTTGTTGCTTCCCACCTTTTCTCCAGCAACTTACAAATATTTTAAGTTCTGATACTGGCCTCCACAATGCTTACAATTCCCAATACAATCCACACATTCCAAATAATGAATGAAAAAATTGTGTAGTACCAGGACAAGGACAGATGGCATTTTCTATACTCTTCCAGTTAAACAGTCAGTAATGACCAAAATATCTGCTTCTCCAAAGTAAAAATTTTGGGTAAAAGTTAGTACTTCTAGAGTTACCCTCCTATTTTTGAGTGAGATGGCATGGAGAAATCAAGATGACTAGGAAGTAGAAATTATATAAAGCAACAATTTTTGTGCGAAAGTTTAAACATTCTTTCCATCTTAAGGGTGTAAGTGGGAAATCCATCTAGGTTAAAGAAAATTAAATGTGTTTGAAAGCAAAATATCTCAAAAGACTCCAACATACTATGTGTTCAAAAATGCTGAGAACTGTCAATAGAATTCAGTAAACCCTTATATTTATGCATGACAGAAGAAATACACAATCCAGAGAAGGAAAACATGTGAGGTACAACATTGGAAACAATGCAAAAATTACCCTGTGGAAGTCAGTGGTGGTGTAGTATTGTTCATCTTCTGTGTGACCCTTGCACATCTCATATTCAGCCTATTGTCTAATGCCCAGAAACCTGGCCACTGAACTCATACAATGTGAATGGCAAAGTTGGTCAAAAATATGATCACTCTTTCATGTACCTACTAGTTATTTCAGTTTAAAGTTTGTATGTTCAATACATTAATACCGACACACTCTTAACAGCTGTGCATTGACAGTATTGTATCAATGTGGTGGTGTTTTTACTATCCAATAAAAGTGAAATACAGGCAGCTAATGCGACTTCAGGGATCCTGGGACCTTAGTGAGAAGGCTGAGAAGTCATCATTCACGTCGCTAACAGTTACTCTGCAGATTTAAGAGCTCGTTATTTATTTCTTCAGCTTCCTTCTAGTTACATTCTTCAACTGGACGCAAACTATATCAAGAAATTTGGTTCTTCAGACTTTGACTTCACAGTATTATGAGAGTGTCCCAGTCTTACCTTACAGCTGAGTTTTTAATAGCTTTGAGAAAATACCTCTCATGTAAAGAATGTGTGGCTCTATCCTTCAGACTGAGAAAAGCATGAAGTAAAGAACAGCAAAAAAAGGTAAAAAGGAAACTTACCATTAAGCAAGTTACTAGAATGACAAAGATGCTGAGAAATATGACAACCGCATAAAATCCTTCTTTGCTCCAGATTTTGTCTGCTTCATGCTGGCCTTGCAAAACATTTTTCTTTTTTAAGCAGTAAGAGAGAAAGAGGAAGAAAAAAAGAGTTACACAGTAGCGTGCGCAGATTAAATAGCTCTTGTCAGGCATTAATCACCCTCCTCAGCTTTGTCACAGTTCACATTCCACAGTATATGGCACTCGCTTTGAACACTGCTGTTTGCATACCCACCTCAGCTACACACACCCCCTCCACTCTGCGTGTCCCTGTGTCCGTGCCTGCGCCTCAGGGGTCCTAACGCTACGCGAGATGGCCGAAGACCTTCTCTGTGGCTGCTGAGGCAATCCTCCACCAGCAGTCATAGGCTGGTAGAAGGGAAGCAAACAAGACGGCGGTCTTTCTTGGAAACTACCTGGCTCGGCAGGTAAAAGGGCAGTGCTCCCGCGTGGGCTGCGGGAACCGCTCCCCCTGCCTCTTCCTCCCCGCTCCTTATCTCCGGCCCCAGCACCCACGCGCCAGCCCTGGGATTGTTTACACTTGACATAGGAGCGAAGAGCAGGTGACTTGTGGGTTTGCCTTCATGAGCCGGGAAGCCCTGACACTGTCACCTTTAGAGTACCCGCCCCCCACCCCCATACATGTGCATATGTAAAAAATTCTGATTATGCTGAAAGTAATCTCGTTATCCGTCTATCTATAATTCTGATTATGCTTTAAATAATCTCATTATCT